AGCTGCGAGGAAACCCTGTTTTCTTATTAACAAAGCTCTGAAGGGTCCTAAACCCTATGGCTGAGACTTGAAGTCTACAATCAAGAATGCATACTGTTTCTATTGATGGTTGCTGTTATTCACATACAAAAAGCACATTGGTTAATTAACGGAATCATGAGTTTCAACTGCACTTTCAGAAGTTTCTGTTCATTATTTAATTTTTTTAATCACCCTAAACTTGATGCAAATAAGGTGAGATTTCCAGACCAAGTGGTGAAGCTCTGAGATTCCGTCCCGCCTTGTGCCCAAGGCTTCCCAGGATAGGCTCTGGCTTCCCCTGTGACGCTGGGGAAGTGGTTATTAAAATTAATGTACTGATGTGAAGCATATTATTCCAGATCTCTATCTCCTTTGAAATAGCTGTTTTTCGTTTATTAGAATCGGTTGTGGGAGGATAGACACCTCTTCTTGATAAGACTTGCAGGATTCACTGGAGAGACTCTGTCACGTCCGGGGACAGACAGTACTGAAAAGAACAGTAGTGATTTAACAGGAGTGGGAGGCCTCTGAAAATAATCAACTAATTCGAGGACCACACTGTTTTGATCTCTGGTCCATCTGAGGACTTCATGAGACAGGCCAGGGATTTGAAGTCCTAGAATCCGTTTACGTATTAAGAAACATAGAGCTTGAACTGGACGCTACTTGCAGGCTTTACAGTATTCTGGGGGCAAGGTTGTCTCTTCAGGACTGATTTTTCTCCTCTCTTCAGTGTGAGCTGTCACTTCCTCACTTAGTAAATATGTGAATGACTGGAAAAATTTCTTACCCTAGAGAGGAGATGCTTGCCACAGAGAACGGTGGGAAATTGCCTCCAGGCAAAAGGACCTCCATCAATCACAGGAAAGACAACAGCTAAATTTTTTTGCAGAACTGTCTAAAGCTGGCCTGTCTAGATGTTTTTCTTCCTTTAGCTGTTATGTATTCAGAGACTGAAATTCTTTTTGCTGTTTTATTATACAACAGATGTTTGCTTTGAATCTCACTGGAGCTGCCAGGATGTGCAACAACAACACAGAAGGGAACACAGTGCTTTAGAAAACATTCTAGTGATGAGCTGGTCTTGACTGAGGAAGTCACTGCTCCCCCTGGATTAGTAAGGCCTTTAATTGAGCTCAGGTTAAGAAACAGTTTTTTGTGATACATCCAGGATAAGCTCTGGCATACGAGCCAGGGATTCAGTCTTCCGACTGTATCTTTGTCTCTTCTTTATGCAGCGCACAAGTGCACAGTGGGGAAATTAAGAAAGCCTGCCTCTGGGCATTGCTCCGTAGTAAATCGTTACAGCAGCGTCTCACTGAGCTGAACCGCATCATTCCATTTAAGTGAATAATCGACTAACTCTGAATAATCAAAGCATGGCTTTTGACAAGAAGGTTGTCAAAGGGGTTAAAATACCTGGCTGGTAATGTAAATTGGGTGGTGCAGTGGCTCTGTGGCTTAAGGATCTGCGCCTGTGGCTGGAAGGTTGCTGGTTTGTATCCCGTGGCCGGCAGAGTAATCCTACTCCGTTAGGCTCCTGAGCAAGGCCCTTAACCCCCAACTGCTCCAGGGGCGCCGTATAAATGGATGATGTCTTTAGAAACCATCCAGTGGCACAAGTCTGTAATCTAATGATACTATAGTTCTTGGCATGAATTAGCTGTATACTGTGTATAGCACAGTCACTGAGTCTCATAGAGTGAAAATCATTTCTCATGCAAAGGCTGTTTCACTCTCTGGTGATACTGGTATAACGTTTGTTGCTTAACCGTAAGTTACTCCAATACATTACTATTAAACAGGTCAGATTTCTGACAGCTGATTAATGGTGCCCCTTTTGAACACCTGGACATTTTTTCTGTGGTCACATGCAAGAAAGTAAATATAGTTTCTCAATTTCTGCAATTAGTGACATGCAGTAGAGGACAGAAATTGAGACTGTCCAGCAAGGAGTTTAGGAGAAGCTCTCTGAGGAATGTATGATTCTAACACTGTGATGAATCATAGGTCTTCCTACTTTTCTGAGTCATCTCTCTGCATTGAGTTTTATCTCTGTCTTGCAGGGGTAGAAAAGATGTAAGTACAGATTGCTCATATTCCTGGCGCCTTAGCATTCGATATATGGTCCATCCATAAACATTAGAGCTACAGAGCTCGGCAGTGCAGTAGCTTGTAGATTTTCATTAGTGCAGTAGGAAGATATCACAAAGTTGCCTGGGACAAGCTGAAGCTATGTGTGAGGCTTTTACCCCTGTTCAAGTTCATATAGTTAGAATCCATGCAAGTGCACACATTTAGTTAATTCAGTACTAACAAATTGTGTTTTGTGGTTTACTCTGGTGTTGTAACTTAACATGGGAGTGCATCATTTACATATGTTGTGTTCAGACAGAAGATAGTATTACCTTTGCATTCATCTAAAGAAATGGTAAATGAAGAATTGGGGGTTTTGTTATACTGCTATGTTAATAATTAATCACATTAATCAGAAACTCAATAGTTAATTGAGTGCTTTTTCCATCAGGCTCATTGTGATTTAACAAAAGCTGGTCAAACAGTTTGAGCAAAGCCCGTGTTATTAGCTAACTTTGACTAACTTTCCCCAGTAGCTACAAAAACAATTCTGGGACGTAAATGTTGGGACTTTTCACTTATCAATTAGGTACTAACTGTCCAGTCAGGTAATGAATGGTTTTATTGTGACCAAGATTCCCCAAGTGGTGGTGCACCATCTGGGAAAGGGATGGGATCAGCCAGGTTGGGTCTTCTCAGCTTTCTGGCAAACAGAGCCCCTACATTTGTCAGGCCCCTACATAGTCGCAGTGACATCAGCAAGAGATTGCCACTCCTCCAATGGGCACCACCTCGCCTGTAAGGCTCAGCAGAGCTTGCTTGTCAGAAAATGGAAGTTTGTGTTGGAGGAGCACGTCTGACAGGACTTAACTCGAATTTGGATAGTATAGTTCTTTCTCCATTCTGGGTAGCGTGGTTTAGAGGACTTACTGTATGTACATATATCTTTATTTTTTGTAACAGTGTAAATCATCTAGTGTTTAAACCATTCAACCCTTGTTTGGTCCTTAACCATAATCATTCTAGATTATATTCCTTTATCTACTAGTGGATCCTGTTTGGCCAGAGATCCATATCAAACACATGATTTCACATGTCACTGACAAAGCAACCATCAGTAATTTTTGTCAAAATTCTAAGTGTATCAACTTAGTCTTAAGTGTAACTTCATCCGGCTCACCTGAGGCATCACCATTCTACTCTGTACATTGTCTTGTCTGTAGCCCCTTTATGGATGAAAACCAGGTGATGCTGAATCCTCAGACAGCCTTGCGTAAAATGCACTGTCATTTATTTTGTTGTCTGGAGAGTTTATATGATGCCCACAGCGGTCTGACCCAATATCAACACCTAGAATCCTTCTGCTGCTTTGCAGATGGGCATGTGAAAATATGACACATGACACTCAAGGGTGGGCTTGCAAGAGCAGTGTGACAGGAGAAACCTAGGATTTTTATTAAAAAAGAAAAGGGAAAGCTTTTAGCATGTTGCAGGCTTAAATATTTGACTGCTTCACTTAGGGAAATGCTTATAAACAAAATTGAACTTCGATATTTCCTTGGGAGTCATCGATGGAATCTTGAGAAAAAACATGATTTATTCACATGGACCTGAATACCAATCTATAAGTTTAGGTAGCACACAGGATTTTTAATTTAAAAGTACCTACTGTTTTATCGAGGTATTGATAAAGTTAGCCAAGTAGTTTAATCCAGGTTCATAATGGAATAATAACTATGAGTTGCTTTTATCAATAAGCTACTAATGACCAGCTAGAAGGGCCAAGTGGTCTTTTATTTGCAAGCTTTGCTCTTACATTAAAGGACTTATTTCTTGCAAGTCTCCAACTTCTATTGCTTCATGTGCACAGTGTTCTTTTTTATCACAATAAGTTGCATGATACAGTACATATCAGAAGGTAGTAGATCTGTCATTTTTCTTGTTAAATGTATGTTTCTCTGTGGGAAATGTAAGCATGGAAATAAATTAGTCTATTTTTAATCCATTAGGAGATATTTTTATTCTTTGAATTATCAGCTCCAGATTCTCCACAAATATCCACAGCCCTCATTCGTTTTCATGGCGACCAGTAATGATCTTTGGTCACATTTGGAATGCAGCATAGTGTGGTTTCTTCTGACCTGGTCTTGTGTTTTGGCCAATCAGAGACCCTTATCACTAAACAAGAGAGAGATTAAATAAGATCACTTTATTAGCCATATACAATTTCTTGTAGTAGGAATTCATCTTTTTGCATACCCCAACTTGCTCTCCATGAGACACACAGACAGGGAGAGAAGCTTGGGGTCAGAGTGCAGGGTCTGCCATTCTACAGCGCCCCTGGAGCACTGGGGGTTAAGGGCCTTGCTCAGGGGCCCAACGGAGTAGGATTCCTCTGCCGGCCGTGGGATACGAACCAGCCCCAGGCACAGATCCTTAGCCACAGAGCCACTGCTCTGACTCCTTCCTTTGTTTTGGGTTGGGAGCTCAAACAGTTGCCTGGACAGTGATCTCTGTGCTTATTTCATCTTCATTAATGCAGATGTCCTCTGAAGGAAAGGATAAACCTTTTTGGATCCATTTCAACTATTATTAGCAGCAGGCTGTTATGCAAGCCATTTAGAGGGCGCAAGTAGAGAATAGAGGGGAACCAATGTACAACTGAGGAAACGAGATCCATTTTTAAACATAGGGCTGTAGAATTTGTGGGATCAACCACATCCTGTTTGTCACAGCCAACAGCATCTCTTCCAAGAAACAGCTGAATTCTTGGATTGCTTAGCTACCAAAGGCGTTAAATAGGTCGGGTGGCATCCTCTTGTATCCTTGTGTTCAGAGCTTGAGAAGGGTTATTAACAACATGAAGGGTGTAAATGAACAAGTGCTGGTTGTTTTCTTTGCAGAGGGAGATGAAGGAGCAGCTGGTCGCTCTTCAGGACAGTGAGGTTGGACACACAGAGGCCCTGAAGCTTCTCCAGAGACAGCTCACCGAGACCAAGGTACCCCTGTCCTGTCACTTCACTAGCTCATAGAAGGGGGAGCCAATGTGTGAGGATTCGAGGTGCAGGTGTTAAAGTGGTGAAGAAAAAAAAACAGGCATTTTTAATTCTTGTCCAAAATACAATTAATAAAGCTTAAGATTAGACATTGAAGGAATACCAAAATATCATAAACCACGTAAGGACTGGACCTTCTCTTCTTTTGATTTTATATTCACCACGAATTTAAAGAGGCACATGAGTATCAATTTAAATATAAACCAAAAACTGTAATTCTGTAAAAGTTACATTTTGTGTTTCATGATTTTGGAACCAACGTTTACTCAAACTGTGACCATGACTGCACATTGCACAAGTCTTTCCTACACTTGTATCATCAGTGCTTCAGGTATTTAAGTTTATACCCATGACTTAGACTATACACATTTTGACATCTTCAGGTGCAGAGCTGAACTTATTGTGTGTTGGGAGTCTGTAAGAAGCTGTGCGGCCATGCTCTTGAAGCTGGTCCCCTGGGCTCTTTCAAGATAAGGCTGAATGATGTCTTTGGAAGGAGGCATGGTGTTGCAGTGGTTGGCATATCTGCCCGCAGTGCTGGGGCCCTGGGTTCACTTCCGGACTGGGGTGCTGTCTGTGTGGAGTTGGTATGTTCCCCCTGTGATCACATGGGTTTCCTCCTCCAATCCAAAGATAGTGCTGATACATTAATTGGCTTCTGGGAAAATTGGTCCTGGTGTGAGTTTTTGCGCCTGTGTCTGCTTTGTGATGGACTGGCGTCCTGGCCAGGGTGTACCCCGCCTTGCACCAGTTGCTTGTCGGGTTTGGCTGCAGCCAGCCCCTGACCCTGAATTGGACAAAGTGCATGGATAAAGATCCCTGGACGAATAAGCTGTCTAGAAAACTCAGTCAACTGAATTTGATGATTAAGGAGCCAAGCAACAAATCCTAATGACATCCAGAGCCCAGGGGCAAAAATTAAGAAATTTGGCAATTAGGCTAGGCTACCATCTTGGATTTTACACAAAAACACTTGAATGGTTTCTCTGAAATCATGTGGCCATAGCAAAACCTGGTATACTTAAAACAGGTTGTTTGTCGGTCAACATTATGATGAGTTTCTACCTTTAAATATTATGGTTGCCATGAATCAAGTGAAATTGAAGGTGTGGATAATTTACATCTAACTGAAAATTTGGCTTGATCTTCATGTAGTTCCAGAGTTGGATCTGCAGTAACTGGAAATGAAGCTGATCGGCTGTATAATCAGGTCATGCAGTGTGACTCTCCTAAGAGAGGAGTCGGTAGTGTCTCAGTTTTCAGATATCTTTCGCTTTGAAACTAGTCAAAGTTCAGCATTTATAGACTCTTGTGTTATTTGGTATCCTATCATAGACTTGCTCAAAATTAGTCTACTGGTCACATGTTTATTTTCCATGTTGAATTTGGAAAAACATTCAGATGTTTTTTTTAATGTATTTGTTGTACTTGGCAGATTGCTGTGTAGTTTGGTGTACGTAGCTTAAAACAGATTTCCTCTCAAGATTTATATGAATTACTTGTTAAGGAAAATAGTAGGGCTCCAATGACTCAGATTTCAGGTTTGCTTAATGCGTGTATGGTACTATGTATATGCACATAGGGGCCCTGGGTTCATGTGTAGTTGGTCAATGTAGCCTGTGGGGATTATAGTACACAAATGAATAAAATGATCTTTATTATGTGCTTTAGCTCAAATTGGCTTTGCCTAGATCTTTCATTAGGGTCACATAAGAAGTCTTAAAACTCCTTAAACAGTTCAGATATGGTTGTGGTTATAATTAAACACACAGGAAAGCATGATGTGCTCTGTCATAAACAATTCTAATTCACAACCTTTGATCTCTCTCAAAGGTCAAAGTCAAATCTGTTTTAAGAAAAGGAAGGTCAGATTAGACCCCTTATTCTCACTGCCAGTATAATGTTGCTGCAACTGCAGATATAAACAAGTTAACAAAACTTGAGGAGTTCATCACTGGAAGTGGGAAAGGCAGAATAAACAAGGCTTCTCTGGTCATGGTGGGATTTCCCTGATCTACAACAGTTCCTGCCAACAAATTGGTTTATTGAACAGCTCTTTAATCTTGACACCTTGTTTTAATCAGGGGAAAACAGGGGAGTGAGCCAATACAACAGCCTCTGCAGTTTTCTTCCCCCTTCGCTGACTTTGAAAGATTAAGAAACACGTATTTTCCAACACTGTGGGCGTCTGCAAAAGGTGTCATTTATCATTTGAAAGGACCGCCTGCCAGCTCACTAGATAAACCATTTATCCCACTATAGAGCCCTCCTGCACACCAGTTTAACCATTTATCCCACGTTGTGTGTGTGCTGAGGTGTTTTTCCTTGCTTCTTCCCTGCAGCATGAGCTTTCAGACTTCGATGTCAAGTATTAATAAAACTCAAATAGCTTTACCGCTGGCCTAGAACAAGATCAAAGGACCAAGGTTTCTTCTTTTAGTTTCTAATGGTTGTTTCTACAGGCACTTTCTTACTTCCCTGAGGCCAAACCTTTTGTTTTTGACTCAACTTAAACCCATAATACAGAGTCCCCCTCACATTGCAGTCCCTTAAAATATGTGTATATATATTTGCAGAGCATCATATTACTTATAAGTGCAACAATTTTAATAAAGTTATCAACAGAAGAATGATAGTTCAGGTGGGTAGCTGCGTCAGCATGCGTAGGCTGCAAAGGAACAAGTAATAGGTTTATTCCATGCTGAAAAAAAGAAGAAAGAGAACACAACGT